CTAGAACCCTCAGTTTGTTTTTCAGAGTCCATCGTCTCTCATGGTTCCTCGCCCCCTCCGACTTACTCCCCTTCATTCTTCCCGTCCTGCTATCTTCTTCTTTTTCTTTTTTCTTAACATATGTTGCATTATTTGTTTCAGAGGTACAGATCTATGATTCAACAGTCTTGCACAATTCACAGCGCTCACCATAGCACATACCCTCCCCAATGTCTATCACCCAGCCACCCCATCCCTCCCACCCCCCACCACTCCAGCAACCCTCAGTTTGTTTCCTGAGATTAAGAATTCCTCATATCAGTGAGGTCATATGATACATGTCTTTCTCTGATTGACTTATTTCACTCAGCATAACACCCTCCAGTTCTATCCACATCGTTGCAAATGGCAAGATCTCATTCCTTTTGATGGCTGCATAATATTCCATTGGGTATATGTACCACATCTTCTTTATCCATTCATCTGTTGATGGACATCTTGGCTCTTTCTGCACTTTGGCTATTGGGGACATTGCTGCTATAAAGGTTGGGGTGCATGTACCCCTTCAAAACCCTACATTTGTATCTTTGGGGTAAGTACCCAGTAGTGCAATTGCTGGATCGTATGGTAGCTCTATTTTCAACTGTTTGAGGAACCTCCATACTGTTTTTCAGAGGGGCTGCACCAGCTTGCATTCCCACCAACAGTGTAGGAGGGTTCCCCTTTCTCCACATCCCCGCCAACATCTGTCAGTTTCCTGACTTGTTAATTTTAGCCTTTCTGACTGGTGTGAGGTGGTATCTCATTGAGGTTTTGATCTGGATTTCCCTGATGCCGAGCGATGTTGAGCAATTTTTCACGTGTCTGTTGCCCATCATTTGGGCTTCTATATCGCTGATTCTCTCTTCTGCCTCATTTATCCTAGCAGTTAGTGCCCCCATTTTTGATTGCACCTCATTAATAGCCTTTTTGATTTCGACTTGGTTAGATTTTAGTTATTTTATTTCCCCAGAAAGGGTTTCTCTAACAACCTCCATGCTTTTTTCAAGCCCAGCTCGTATCTTTAAAGTCGTGATTCTGAACTCTAGGTCCGACATCGTACTAATGTCCGTATTGAGTAGGTCCCTGGCTGACGGTACTACCTCTTGTTCTTTTTGCTGAGGTGATTTTTTTCGTCTTGTCATTTTGTCCAGAGGAGAATAGATGAATGAGAGAACAAAATGCTAACAGGTTAACAACGTCCCCAGCAAATATACTGTATACAAATCACAAAAGACCTGAAAACCTGAAACCAGGGGAAAAGAAAGGGAAAGAAAGAAAAAAGAAAGGGGAAAAAAAAAGAAAAAGAAAAAGATAAAAACAAACAAAAACAGAACAAAACAAAACAAAACAAAAAACAGAATATGATCAAATATCATCAGGCTAGTGCATAGATCAGTGCCACACACTAGATTTTGGGTGTATTTTGGTCTGTTAGAAGAAAGTGCCTCCTAAAATTTTAAAGGAAGAAAGACTTATATATGTACAAAATAAGGGTTGATACAATGAAGGGATGGAAGATGACTGTAAAGATGAAAATTATAAAAGGTTTTGTAAATGGAATTGATAAGAAGTTGTTTGAAAGATGAAAGAAGAAGATTTAAAAAAAAGAAAAGTAAAGAAAAAAAAGGGAGAGACTGTGATCAGGCAGGAGACTAGAACAAAGCCATACACTAGTGATTTAGGGTATATTTTGATCTATTAGAAGAAACTGTATCTCAAAATTTTAAAGAGAGAACAACTTATATATATATGCTAAAAATAAGGTTAACTACTATGAAGGAATAAAATATGACTCTAAAAATGAAAAATAAAAAATGTTTTTTTAAAAAAGGGATTGATAAGATGTTGGTTGAAAAAGGGAAAAAGAAAAATTCAAAAAAAACCCCCAAAAAACAGTTAAAAAAATTAACTTTGGAAAACTAATGAATCATGGCAAAAAAGCCATGAATTCTATGTGCAGTATTCCCCTAGCGCAGGAGTTCTCCCGTTCTCCTTGATCGGTAAACTTGATCTTGGCTTGCTGGCTGTTCCTGCTGATCTTCTGGGGGAGGGGCCTGTTGCTGTGGTTCCCAAATGTCTTTGCCGGAGGCGGATTTGTCCCGCCCTTGTCGGTCTGGGCTAAGCAAGCTGCTCGGGTTTGCTCTCAGGAGCTTTTGTTTCCTCCAAGCTCTCGGTACAGCTTTGGAGGACCAGGGTGAAAATGGTGGCCTCCCACTCTCTGCCAGGAGGAGCTGAGAACTCGGGGCCCCGCTCCTCAGTGCGCCCCCAGAGAAAAGCAGTCAATCACTCCCATCTCCCCAGTCTCCGGCTGCACTCCGTACTCACCCGGCCTGTGACCGAGCGTTTCTATCTCTGGCACCTGACCCCGTGTGGAGTCCCCAAACCCAGCAGATCCCTGCGGTGCATTCCCGCGCCGCTCCACCTTGGGGAGGAAGGGGAGTCTCCCCGGCTCTGCTGCTTATTGGGTCCCTGCTGCAGGTGCAGTGGCCTGACTGGGCCGCGGATCACAGTTCATGGCAACCCCGAGCTGAGAGCCTGCGCCTCGGCTCCGTCTCTGCAGCCGGCTTCCCCGCTCCGATACCTGGGAGCTCTGCCGCACTCAGGCACCTCCAGTCTTTCTGTGACCCCGAGGGTCCTGAGTCCACACTGTCTCGCGAGGTTTCCACCTCCCGCTTAGCCACTGCAGTGACTTCCCTCAGTGGAACTGACTTCTAAAAGTTCCAATTTTGTGCTCCGCGGCTCTAGCACTTGCCAGAAGCGGCCGATGGAGACCCCCTCCCCCGCCGTCTATCCTCCCGAATATCGCCTCGGATTCACTTCTCCGCACGTCCTATCTTCCAGTAAGTGGTCGCTTCTCTGTTCAGAGAGTTGTTGCTACTCTCTTCTTCGATCTCCTGTTGAGCTCGTAGGTGTTCAGAATGATTTGATCCCTATTCAGCTGAATTCCTGAGACCAGACAAAATCCAGGTCTCCTACTCTTCCGCCATCTTGCTCCGCCCCACCCCGCAGATATGAATTTTAAGACATGGTCCATGACTTGTAGGAAGTCAAGTTAGAGATTGGTATGTATGTATGTATTTAGAGAGACAGAGAGAGGGAAATTGAGCCCAGGAGGGGCAGAGGGAGACGGAGAATCCCAAGCAGGCTCCATGCTCAGCACAGAGCCCAACATGGGGCTTGATCTCAAGACCCTGAGATCATGACCCAAGCCAAAGTCAAGAGTCAGATGTCTAACTGAATGGGCCACCCAGGCGCCCCTACAATTTGCTATCTTTCTTTTTTATTTTTTAAGATTTTTTATTTATTTATTTGACAGACAGATAGAAGCCCTAGTAGGCAGAGAGGCAGGCAGAGGGAGAAGTAGGCTCCCCGCTGAGCAGGGAGCCCGATGTGGCACTCGATCCCAGGACCCTGGGACCATGACCTGAGCCAAAGGCAGCCGCTTAACTGACTGAGCCACCCAGGCGCCCCAATTTGCTGTCTTTCAAAGTGGGTTAATAAAAGTTGGTTTGGAATGGTTTCCAGGTAATGGCAGGGTTTATTATCAATGGACACACCTGTCTGCAAAGGGCTGACTTCCCAATGACTCTAGCATTCATTCACTCATCCACGTTAAGTCAGCTGGAGACACATAAACACACCAAGCCATGGAGACACGGCTTTTACTCTCGTTCTTTGTTGTTGAGCAGTTTCTTTTTCTCTGTGGTTTCTTTTGCTTTGTTTTTCATGAAAGCACAGCAGGTACAACCATTTTAACTCCGTTCCCGGCTGAGATCTTCCTTTGTAAACATCCCTTAAAGTTAAGATGAAAACTACTTTTCCTTTTCTGACAATGAAAAAAGTGCAATTTGCTTTTTTCTGTTCTGCGTAAAACATCAAAACCACATAGCCAGGGCCTCTTAAATGCAAATACCCTCCTAATCCCCCCACTTATATTTCTGGGTTCCTTGGGACTTCCCAACAATTCTTGTTTCCCGAAATTTTTCTTCTCTTCCTTTTCTTGACTGAGAAATTCTATCGTCTCATTCTTTGGAAATCAATGCAAAAACATTTGGATGCTTTGTTCACCACATGGGCTCTTTAGCTTTGGGGTATTGGGCATTTATTACCATTAGCAGAAATTGGCAGCATCTGATTTTGCTAATCTACAGGCATAGAGAGAATTGGGAACTGGGTATGCATATCATTATGACCTGAGACACATATAACCATTCTTTGTACATACAGATTTTAGCAAGCACAACATATTTATAATTACATTGGAATTCTTTGGATTGAAGCAAAGAAAGAGAGTCGGTTTGAAAAGCTACTTTTTTTTGCAGGGAGAGGCTAAAATAGTCTATTGCTTTGGGCCCTAGTTCTAGAAAGGAATGGAATTAAAAGGGAATAAGGAGGAAACATGTACATGTACATGTACATAGCAAGTGTTTTACCTGGCAAAGCCAACGCCTCTGCTGACTCCATTAGCATCTCTTAGTATTCTTGTGGAAATGACGTGTCCGAAGGGTTTCAGCATATTTTCAAGTTCCTGCTCATCCATAGAAATGGGGAGATTTGAGATGTATAGGTTTGTTGGGTCTTGCTCTTGTTGCTAAGGGAAGGAAAGAAACAAATGCATTAGGTTCTGAATATTGAAAAACCTACTGCACAAATGGATAGACTTTTGCTTGAACTGCAACATGGATTCTCAACTTCAACATACTCCTGAACATTCTTTTACTAAGGGCAATACTTCTTTTCAACGAATTCCCTTCTTGCTGAGTGTTTCTCATAGAAACAATGTCATAAATGAAAAGCAAGCTTTCTGCCCAGCCTCCTTAGGAAAGAAAAATAAACTTTTTTAAAAAAAAATTATTTATTTATTTTAAAGGGAGAAGGAAAAAAAAAACAGCATGAGAGGGAAGAGGGTCAGAGGGAGAAACAGGCTCCCCGCTGAGCCGGGAACTCGATGTGGGATTCGATCCCAGGACTCTGGGATCATAACCTGAGCCGAAGGCAGTCGCTTAACCAACTGAGCCACCCAGGCACCCAGAAAAATAAACTTTTATTGCAAGTGAACTAAGGAAACATGTGTATTCTTTTCCATTACCACTAACTACTGCTTCTACTCTCACTGCTCCAATTACCATCACTACTAGTTACAAACGTTGCATTTAGTGAGCACTCATTATAGGGTTAAGCATGTTTTACACAGTTAACATGCATTATTTTATTCAATATTCCTAATAAATAGAATTGTTATCATTTTACAGAAGACAAAACTGATCCCTAACTTGTCCAAGTTATAGTGTTCATAAGTATCAAAGCCAGGGCTCAACTCTGGGGCTATCACCAAAGTCTGTGGGGTATCACATAAGTCCATAGGCTTCACTGTCCTGCTCTACTACCTTCCACTTGACAAAAAGGCTGGGGGGAGGATGGGAACCACATCGGCCTCAGCATCACTGTGGAATTTGCTAAAAATGCAAATTCTCAGGCCTTACCCCAGAACCACTGAATCAGAAACTTGAGGGTGAGACAAGCAATCTGTGTTTTGACCAGCCCTCCAGGTGATTCTGATGACTGGGCAAGTTTGGGAACTGCTATCCTATACATACATGTTGATGTTTGAGTGAGATTATGATGTCTATCATTTTCTAATCCAATAGCAATAGTGCTAAGTACATTTCCTTAATAGAATGGGAACCCAAACAATCACTAGCATTATCTCTATGTCCATGAATGTTCTCTCTTTCACACAATGAATTAGGGTTGGGACTTAGCTGTCTATATGTATCAAGATAAAACAGCCATAAACCTGACATATTAGCCATTAAGATCAAAATATATCATATATGTAACTGCACCTTTATGTTTTAACCAAAACAACAACCTTAACTTCAAGGATAAGCAAGATTAGATTGGAAAAAGAAATTCTGGAATCTATAGGAAATGACATTATGGGACACTGAAACATCTTTTGTAAAGATATCTCATATTCTATAGAAAATTTGAGGTTTTAGGACAATGAAAAAAATACAAGCAAGATTCCAAATATTATTTCAAGACAAAAAATAATTTTGGTATGAAACTATTGTTTTTAACAGTTCTAAATATTCAGATTGGTCATAATATTTTTATTAAGCTTTGAGATTAATAAGATGTATTATTACATTAAATTTTTTAACAGTTTAGTTTAGTTTATCACCATGGAAAATGGTAAAAATAAACATATAATCATTCAGAAAAAGACAACACAGCTTTAGTGTTTAGGAACAGTGTAAGTGTAGAAACTGTGCAACTGTAGTTAGTTTCTCTCCCCCTCTCTAACACACACACACACACACACACACACACACACACACACACACACACA